GGACCCTGAAAGGTCAGCTGCCACTAAAAATGAAATATTCATTGAAAGCGCCAGGTACACATATGAAAAGTGCAATGAAATCTCCTAGGAATAAGAATGAAATATCCATTGAAAGCACCAGGCATCCAAATGAGAAGCACAATGAGATATCCTGGGTTTAGCAATGAAATATCCAATGAAAGCACCAGGTATATCTATGAAAAGTGCAATGAAATATCCTAGGAACAAGAATGAAATATCCATTGAAAGCACCAGGCATTCAGATGAAAATCACAATGAAATATCCTGGGGCTAACAATGAAATATCCAATGAAAGTGCCAGGTATCCATATGAAAATTGCAATGAAATATCCTGGGGTTGAGAATGAAATATATATTGAAAGAGCCAGGTGTCCATATGAAAATTGCAATGAAATATCCTGGGGTTGAGAATGAAATATATATTAAAAGCACCAGGTATCCATATGAAAATCGCAATGAAATATCCTAGAACAATGAGATATGCGATCTCATTGAACCTCTAGGCATTATACACATCGCCCTCCAGGCATATGTCTGGTTTTTATCATAAAAGTGTATACCACCCATCCATCAACCAAACATGTATTTCGCTGACAGCTAACCTGTTCTTCTTGTAGCGCGATCAGCGGCGATACCATGAAGGTTACCATCCCTTTCGTCGCCTCATGGGCATGAGGTCCAGCTGCAACAAATGTTTTCCCTGACCCCGTACCGGCATGGATAAGAACATCTTTTCGCAGTAGCTGGGCCTTGATAGTGTCGAGCTGGAACTCCCGTGGTGAGTGGTTCCATTTAAAGCATTCCTTTATCTTCTGACCGAGGGTTTTCAAATCTTCCAGGGTTAAACCTGCCCAAGTCTTCTTCTTATCTTGTTTAGCCTTTGCATTAGCCACCTTTGCCTTTGTGTTGACCTTGTTGGATAAAGAATTACGTGGAAGCATGTCGTCGGAATGTTGATAATAAAAAAAGAGGGATTGCCTTTACAGGCCGCCGATCAAG